TGCATACGTAACAAAGAGAATTATGCTGTATGTTAATGGATCACACGTTTTGTTCTTTTGCACTTCATAACTCTGAAAAGGAAAGACTTTCTAAGTCAATCGATCTCTCATTATGTAATGCTACGTTTCAGAAGAATCGATAGCAATCTTCCAGCAAATGAGCTCGTTTTTTTGGGTAAAGGAAGGTCTTAGATGAGGCTCCAGTTGTATGCTAAAATATCAAGAATTAGTTATATATTTGAAAAACAACAATTCAAACTTTAATAGACAGCATTTTTCAGGTTAAAAAGCTGTTTTTCAGATCTTCAACGTATATGATATCCAAGATTTCGTGAAGTGGAGACTTTTTTGCATATCTTGAATTTAGATGAAAAGAGATTTCTTTCATTAATGAAAGCTGTCGTTTATTGAATAGAATGATAATCGGAAAGAAAACATTTGATCAAATAAAAATATGAAACGACAACATACTGTGCTCGGAAAGTCTTTATGTAGAGAACTATTGTTTACAGTTGACATATTTTTTTTTACTGTCTTCTAATTAACGGTAAATAAGATGACATGTAAAGTTTTTTGCGTATATGTATTTTTTAGGTTGTGAATGTCGACGAAGAAAAAACGATACCAACATTGACACTCAATCATTCTACATTATGTATTCAGATGTTTTATTGATCTGCTCTTTGACAAACAAAGATTATTTACATCGTCGAAGTTCTTTCTTATACTCTGGAAGTTCGAAATTATTTGACAGTATTGTACGTTTTCCCAATACGAAAAGCACATTCGTAAGACAATTGGAGAAAGAGTCTTTTGTCAAATTTCAAGTGCTTTTTTTCTTAAGATGAAAGTGTTATTACGTAATTATTTATTTTATCATGCAGCATATTGATGTTGTTGTGCGAGACAGATAAATTAGAATGCTTTGAAGGAAGAGGCTTCGCAGTAATTTCAACTAGTTTCCCATAAAATGTAATAGCCTCTTTATATTTTCTTCAACTAATTTTGACCGATCCAATTCTATTATAAATATATGCTTTTTCAATATCATCAGATGTTTAATCGAATGTTTCTTCATAAATTTATTCGACTTTGTACAATCGATCATGCCTGAGTAGTAATAAATCCAATTTGTATCACTCTTCGAAATGTGGAAACATTTTCTCTCCTGTTTATGTTCAATAATAATAAAAAGACCTTGGTCATTCATTGCTATTGGTCATTGCTAGTTCCATTTATCAGACGTGATTATTTTAACCGAGTTACTTAATATCTTAGATACCGAAAACCATGTCCATTGAGAAGAGACGTTCATCTTCTGCATCTTCCTGGCAACAGATGTTAGTAACGAATATGAAGAATCTATTGTTATGACGAACAGAATTACTACTCAATCAGAGTTACAACAGAGCCCGATGATCAAAGTTGAAAAAAAGATCTCAATTTTTACTAGTAGATGGAATATTATTAGACGACATTAGTTCATGGTTTGTTTTCATGATTTGATCAATGGTTGCATTGTACATCACGATAGAAATTATGTGCAAGGCACCCTCTCCTAATGATCATGTCTACATTCTTGAACATGATATATATGAAGCATCTATACGTAATTCATCAAATAAGTATTGTTATGCCTCTTTTGTTGATATTATTTAATTCGTTATTGATGAAGTGTTTCCGATAGTAGTCAATAAATTTTTTCATGTCTATATTTATTAAAAGTTGATGGCGAATAATATATCTTCAAGAATTTGTGTATACATATATGATCGATCCGATTTGCCTAAACTTTTGTCTAAAGGATTACGACTTAGATAAGTCCAAAAGTAGTGGCGGAGGTATCATAATTCATTATAGAAAGCTCTGAGAAACTTTCTTTCTATATAGTCTGATAGAGAAAAGAATGCTCTATTTTTCTATGCTACTCGATCATACTTCAACTAATATCATAATAATAAACTTTCGATAAAGTCTGTTTCGCTTGGAAATATGCTGAATGTATAACTGCTCATTTCAACAAAGTTAGGAGAGTATTTTTGAATAACTGTTGAGTAGAAGAAGATAGAGAGCCGCGGTTTTCACAGTTGGAAAGGGGAGATGAAGGCCCATAGAATCCTATATTACAAGGGTCTTCTGACCAGGCTTTTCAAAGATTTTCAATTGACACTTTTGGAAACAACGCTACTTCATGGATTCTTTACATTGAATTTTCAATTGTCAGGTGTGAATTCAAATCATCAATCAGAGATCTACAGAACTGCGAAAATATTATCGATCTAAATTTAATCATACAATATTTATACATATTTTAGTTGGAAGGCTACGTTATTTTTCACAAGAATTTCCGAAAAAAATTACTTTTTGTTTTTCCTTCTTCTAATGAGAAATTATTTTTCGGAATTTTGAGAATTAATTAATAGAAGTCGATAATTCATATTGCAAACCCTTGCAATATAGAGTTTCATGTACCTTCATCTCCTCTTTCTAACTGTGAAAACTGTAGTTCTCTATCTTCTTCCTCTCAACAGTTATTCAAAAAATACCCTCCTAACTTTGTTGAAAGGAGCAGTTATACATTCAGCATGTTTCCAAGCGAAACAGACTTTATCGAAAGTTTATTATTATGATATTAGTTGAAGTATGATCGAGTAGCATAGAAAAATAGAGCATTCTTTTCTCTATCAGACTATATAGAAAGAAAGTTTCTCAGAGCTTTCTATAATGAATTACGATACCTCCGCCACTACCTTTGAACTGACCTAAGTAACATTTGTTCACTAGTTTAGAGAGAGAGAGAGAGAGAACCAAAGTGTGACAGATTCAGTGGTCATACACTCGCTGCTATAAGCGGTTGTTCTCTGTATTATCATTTTCTTCTTTCTGTTCTTATTTTCCTCTCCTTGTTTCGCGTGCGCATATAAATGTTTCTGTTCATGTGTTGTTCATCGCCCATTCGTGGCTTGGCCGTTCTCTTCTCTAATGTTTGTGTCGTGTTTCTTTCTTGAATATATAAAAGAATAGACCATAAACAACCCGAAACCATTCTACGAAGATCAAAAAAAAAGAGAATATCATTTTTGATAAAGTATCGCATTATTATTATTTCTTCTTTAATTTGGTCATTACATGTTCTATTTTCAAAAAACGAAAGATGGAAAAAGAATCGTTTGTTGATATTTACGTAATGACAATTACTATCGATGGTAATAATATTGGTAAACCATTCAAAGCAGAATTTGCGATTGAGTCTAATGTAAGTCGTATGATTATTAATAGTTGCTTGTATATAACAGAGAATAATAAAAGAAAAAATTGTTTTTTGGTAAAATAATTTGAACGATAGTAAGGACAACGACGATAATGGTAGTGATCATTACCCTTCTTTATCGGACTTGGGTTTTTATGAATCTGTTGTAGGCAACGATTTATGGATATTGATAATGCCTCAATTTCAAGAATTTTTTAATAATGATCAGAGTGAGGATACTTCCATATATCTCATCCGTTATATAGGCCTTCAACCAAAGTTTAGAGTGACAAACACTCATGGATATTGTAAGTGATGAATTTTAAAATATTTCTCATAGATTAAATAAATTTTTAAAAAAATATTCAGATTGTCAACATTTTAATGCGGACGACTTTAAAATTTATCAATTGGCATTGTTCCCAAGTACTTTTTTTATAGAGTAATGTGATGTTGATCAACTTGATGTTACAGTTCGTCAGGTAGCATATCTATTAATATCGGTGATAGTCTAACAAGTCAATATATAACTACAATTCTTTTTTCTCTCTGATTTTGTAACCACTCTTCGACTCCTCGTTAATCATCGAAACGGCACTGACGATGACGGCAATTGATAACAATACTCGTATGAATTTTTTCCTTTTGTTTTTCTACTGTTATTCTTTTTCTGTGTTCATTGTAATTCTTCCATGAAAAGAATTAAATAAACATCGAACATAAAGCGGAGAGGATGATAAAAGTTCGTTCATGCTGACTACACTTTTGAACATTTTCTTATTAGTTCTAAACAACATGGCTTTATTGAGTCAAGTGCTAAGTTTTGCCATTGGTTAATTATTTGTCAAATGTAAATGGAACTAGTTCTTTTGACTTCTCCTCCACTAAAGTACGAGGGTTTAAAACGCCAGCAAACGATAACTATTTTACCATACCAAGTGTTCAACTAAAAAGCTCATTTTACATTTCGATGCATTATGTTAAATATATTTCGAAGGAGGAGACCTACGAACTACTGTTTATCCTCAGAGGGTGTAGGTGTGTAATAGAGGACATCCACTACGACCGATTTCATCCTTGCCTTAGGGACTCATCAGGTTTGATTAAGAATCTTTTATTATATTGTTTTATATAGATTGCAATGAATTTATTAAGTGTGTACAGGTATATTCAATGTCTCCAGTACATGATCACTCGTGAGATGCAACTTTTGTATATCTTAAAGGTGTATAAATGCAATGGAGGTATCTGTAGTCAGATGACGTCTCCTGTATTTGTGGTTTGGTGTATTTAAATGTTTCTGTGACATCCGTAGTTAACTGATATTCGTTATATGTGTGTGCTACGTGTCTGCCCGTCTTTCTATGATATTCCACAAATAGCTATATTATTCTAAGGAATTGATATATCAAATACAGAATAACATTGTCCAAAATAAAGATTATATATAAACTAAAGAACCGTTTCATTAATATTTTTGATAAAAAAAACTTCGACTTAAGTTAAACTGAACTTTACTAATCCTTAAAATCATTTCACCTTGTAGATGAATTCATATTATCAACAAGTCTTTTTTCCTTCATATTTATTGTAAGTAAGCTATATAAATCGATTAAAATGATTCACTTGATAGTGATGAAAAGTAAATTACACTAGGAAAATAATGTTTACAGTTTGTTTTCTGTATAGTGAAAGCATACAACACGGAAGGTGAATATGTAAAATATATACGATCATATTCTATACACAATTACGGTTGTAGAACAATATTTTCATCCATCGAAGGAACACTTCGTACTGCACTATATTTTTCAGGCCACTTCCATGTTTTCGGACCAAAATATTCATATGATGTATCATACAATTGCATACGAATAAATTCTTCTTTATCGTCAGGTTCTACATATTTCATAAAAATAAAAAATAAAGGTAAACAACAAAAACAAATTTTACTTTACCTGGATAATTCCAAGCTTTTTTCGTTGCATAAAGATGTTCAGCTAAATGTGCTGCTATTTTAACTGTTACTTCATGTGTTTTGGGTATAGGCGGATAAACACGACCATTACTCAAGTCGTCTTCACTAACCAATGAACCAAGTTTCTATTCAAATGAAAGATTAAATTTTAACAATCATTGACAATTTAATACAGATCAGATAGATATTTTCTACGTATTATATTTAATATAAAAACCTATAGTCCTTTGATTTCAAATTCAGGTTGAGAAATGGTTTGTGTAAATACTTTTTGTAAAACGAATTTTTATTATTCTACTACCATATTTGGGTATTTGCTAGGAGACACTTTAGACTATATAATAATATAATATTACTAACACATCATCTAGTTCGATTTATGCAAAAATTGAAAGAACATATGTATATAGCATAAACTTTTCAAATTCATGTACTTCAAAATAGATGACAACGGATTTGTACAAAAAATGAACATCTTTAATGTCCACCAAGCACTCAAATCTTCAAGTTCAGAAATACTGTTTCTGATAGTTGTATTTAATGAAAGTTATTCTCTGTTATTGTCTGCTTCTATATTGATATCAACAACTTCATCTTATTCATTTTTGTTGACTTCTCAGTAATTCTTTGCATGCTTAATATGATGTATAGACTCCTTTGGCAAAGGATCATCATTAATAAGTCGTCTTAATATCTATGAGTAAGTATGTTTCTTTTTCTGACCATCTCAACTAATACACGACTACCCGAGTAAGAACAATTAATTAAAAACGTTATTGTCAAGCAATAGCTACTATATATAAGTAAATGTTCAAACAAGAAAAATATAAGAAATACTTAAGAGTGATATAAAAAATTAATATAAGATAAGTGTCAAGTATGCATAAAATGAGTTATCATTTCTCTTGTGAAACATGATCTAAAAGAAGTGTTGAAGTATAGAGGTTGAAATTTGGACTCATTTCCCCCTCTCCACCACAGACCGTGACAGATGTTGTTGATATATGATCAAAGACCGTATATCAATAACGTCTTATTATAATATATGAACTGCTTTCTGAATGCATGTCTGGAGGACTAAGTAAAAAGATGGTGAAGAGATGCGTTCCAAAAAAGATAGCATAAAGCAATCTCCTGTGATTAGCAACAGCAGTCACATCATGTTTTACATTTTAATCCCACAGGAATTGTGCTAACAACTTTTTTCTTAATAGTTATCGTCTTTTAAATGGGATTAATTGTAGCGTATCTTGACCTCTATATAACTATAGGCATAATACATGATAAATATCTTTTATCATATAAAAAGAAAATATAAAAACCAAAACAACATCAAAATTTCAACCTGAATCTGAAACCAAACGACTCACGAAAAACAATAATAACGTGCTAACTAAAACTAATTTGAGATAGTTTTCATTTACCTGAGCTGCTATTAAAAATATATCTTCTTCAACATGCCGAGCTGAACATGCAATAGTAGCTAAAGCAACAGCTGGAAATATATATGCATTATTGCCTTGTCCTATTTTAAGTTATATTTATACATATTAATTAAGTAATTAATTAATATAAAAAATTACCCGGATGAAACGTTTTATTATTATAAACAACCGGTTTAAATGGACTACCAGATGCAAATATGCATCGACCCTAAATAAATTTAAAAAAAAAAGTATATCTCAAGTACAGAAGAAAATTTTTACATCTGTTTCACGATAAGCTTCTTCTGCTGTACATTCAGCACGACTTGTCGGATTTGATCTATGAATAAAATTAATCTATGACAAAAGTATAATTCCATAAATATAACTATACAAAGCAAAGATGAGAGGACGTTCATTAATTTGAGCCATCTTTTTAAGAACACCTTCATGAAAAAGACGTCCAACTCCACTAGCACCTGAACAAAGATATTATTCATTATTTTTCTTGATATATTGAATAAATCTTACATACCCATAAGCATGCTTGGTTTAACAAAATCAACAACTGCAGCAAGATCTTTTATTGCTTTACCTTTCTTCACATAAGGAGCTTTATGTCCTTCTAAATCTCCTTGTGGTCGACCCTTAACAATGAAAGATATTAAATTAAATAATTCAAAGTATCATCAAGACAGTGAAAAAAGCAATTTTAGCAATGACATGCATTACCTCCTTTCCAAAAGATTACATTAAATTAATTATTAGCAACATATATTCTAGTAATTTACATATACGAAATGAAAAAACCAAACAAACTTACTTCGACAATAAGACCATGAACATCATACATCCAAATTTTACTTCTTGCTTCTTCAATTGAAGCACCTTCACGTACCATTGCATGTGTTAGTAAATCAGCAATACCACATGCAGCCTAAATTTAATCACATATTTCATATGGGAAAAAATTATTTATGTATAAATATACTTGACCAGCTCCAACAAAAAGATATGTATTGTCAATTAATTTTGTACTTGTGATGCGAAGTGCACCAAAGACACCAGCAAGAACAACTGCAGCTGTTCCTGAAATTAAAACAAAGGTTTTTTTTAAGAAAATTTCAGAAATGTGTTCTAAAATGAGAAAAATCAAACCTTGAATATCATCATTGAATGTGCAATATGTTTTTTGATAACGTTCAAGTAATCGATATGCATTATGACTGGCAAAATCTTCAAATTGAATAAGACATTCCCATCCAAAACTAGAAATAAATATTTATTATATTTTAATAATAATAATCTATTGTTGTATTTAATAAATTTACCGTTGTACAACAGCAGCCATAAATTCATCAATGAATTCATCATATTCTTTACCCGTAACTCGATTTTGTCTTAAACCAACATAAAGAGGACTGGATGAGATTTCCTTAGGAAAAAAAAAACAAAACATAAGAAATAAATTTCAGATAACAAAACAATTTTGTTTTTTTGAAACAATTACTTCATTATTTGTTCCAACATCGAGCATAATTGGCAAACAATGTTGTGGTGGAATGCCAGCAATAGCTAAAAATAAAAATCATTTAATTATCATAAATTGTTTATTTCCATTTTCGTATTACAGATATATAGAAGATTTCGATAAATCTTCATTGTTATTCATAGGTTTGTAAAAACGAAAACAAAAAAAGGTCTAAGTACAATAAAAAGGAATTCAGGATGGTAAAAAACTATCTACATAGAATCCACATGATCTGGAACAATGAGAACATAATTGATACCAAACAACTGAAAAAGCTTACACAAAGAATTTTTTTATCCCTTATATATTGTAGTTAGACACACAGATACATTTACATAAGATTATTTCGTATGAGTACAAACGTTGATTAGATTTAATAAACAAACAAACGCATTACTGCTTGATTGTTTTTATTTTTCTGATTATATGTTTTTAAATTAATGATGAATATGAAAATAAGAGGTGTAACAACCAAAATATTTTCAAATTCAATCTATACCATTACTAACCAATTATATACAATAGAATAGTGCGTATTAACATATTGCATTACACTATGTATGTAAAAAATAGAATCAATTCTATAGTATTACTTTGTTGAGTATAGATTATTCTTCAATAAATATTCAGAAAAAGTTGTTGATTTTTTTTTAGAATATATATAAAAAATGAATTTTTAAAATAAACAATATTTTACCCGTATATAATTGTAATTTTCCAACTGGTATACCCATACCAGATGCACCTAAATCACCTAAACCTAAAATACGTTCACCATCCGTTACTACAATTGCTTTAACGTGTCGTTCTGTCCAATTGCAGAGTATATCATATATATGACCTTTATCATGTATAGTTATAAATAAACCTCTTGGTCGTTTAAATACTAAACCATATTTTTGACAAGCAAGACCAACTAGAAAATAATGAAATTTGATTTTCGTTTTTGAATTTTGTTTTTCTATATTTATATACCTGTTGGTGTATAAACAATTGGTATAAGTTCTTCAATATTATCTTTTAAATCATTATATTTAGATTAATAATTTCAAAATTTATTAAATTTACCTGCAATAACTCTAAAAAATAATTTTTCATTTCGATCCGATAGATTCATTAATTCTGTATATCGATCGAGATCATCTAATAGATGAAGATTAAGATATTAAAAAAAATATAGTTCATCTATTCAAAATTAATCTACTATTCATTCGATGAAAATTGATCATAAAACGAAGTGCTTGAATGTCTTGTGTAAGAACAGCTGGTGGTAACAAACCATGAATACCCATATGTTGTCTTTCTTCAAGTGTAAATGCCATACCCTAATTTTAAAAAGAATCCAGAAAAAAACAATAATTTTAATCTTTTTTTTTTTATTTTTTTCTATTAACTTTATTGAATGCTGGATTTCGAAGTAACTCAACACCTTTAATTGATGCACGTGATTTTGTTGTTGGACGGTATTCATCAGTAACAGTAACAAGACATCGTTGTTGTAATTGAAAGTAACGTAAATATTGATAATATGACAAAACCGAACGAATACCTCGTAATGAACTAAATGGCATGTTTTTTTTGATTACTAAAACTATCTAAAAATTAAAGAACAATTATTTATTAGAAGTTTTTTGATTTATTATATTGACTTGTCCACGTAACATGACATTTCGCTGATCAAGTTTTTGAAAACTTTTCTTTTCGAATTGAACAGATCTGAATGCATTGTTAGGTACAGTTTTTCAAACTAATTACGAATTTAGCATTTGTTCTTTAAAAAAAATTGGATTTTCGCATCGAAAACCGGATTTTAAACTTTTTGACAAAATAGTGTTTTAAACTTCCTCACTAAGAATTTTTTCCAAGCTAAGGATAACTTGTACATTCGTGTACAGTTTTCAACCTACACGTTTTGATGTAGAAATTTGATTCTTGCATAGAACGATTAGATATACAGAACAGACCAATATTTCTCAACATACTAAGTGCCTTAAAATTGGTCGACAAAAATTTGTGTAACAGCGTTATGTTTATTTTGATCTGATCAAAAATAGTTTAGAGAAAATCTTTCTTTTTTTACGTCTTAAAAGCTCATTCGATGCACTCTACAAAACTGACTCTAGAAATGTTTCGTTTGGAGAAATACTTCTTATCAGCGACATTGAAGACAAAGGGACTTTTTATGTAATGGCGTTATGCAATTATAAAACCTTCCTAGAAGTTCAAGACTTCCGGTAAAAAAGGTCATTTTTATAACACAAATAGAATGTGATAACTTGCATCGAATAGCGTTTGAATAAACTTTCTGAACCTTACACTTACGGAGATAATTGAAAAAGAGTGTGTCAAAAATGTAACAACGTTTCGTTTCGATGAGTCGATATAATCTTCAAAATTATTTGTATCTTATGAAATATAAATATTTGAATGAAACTATGGAATATTTTCTTAATTATTTTGAATATCAGTAAACATATAGTTCAGTTAGATCATTAGAATTTTTTTTCTTTTTAATTTTAATTGTTTTTTGTTTACATTAATTAAATTTTTGTAATTTATAAACACAGTTAAATAGAAAAAAACGGTTGATTGAAACAAATTTTTATGATTTAAATACTTATGATAAATATCACATATTTCTATTGTTCAAATTAATTTTTTGTTTAAGAGCGTAGGATCTTAACTTTCTTTTCACAAAATATATTTAGAAAAAAAGTGTTAAGAGGAAAAAAAAATTATTTATAATATTGACTCATAGGTGTGATATTTTTAACTATTATGGCGTTAAGAAATGAACCACTTAATATTGACTCGTAGGTGTGATATTTTTAACTATTATGACGTTAAGAAATGAACCATTTAATATTGACGCATAGATGTTATATTTTTAACTATTATGACGTTAAGAAATGAACCATTTAATATTGACTCATCGATGTGATATTTTTAACTATTATGATATTAAGAAATGAATTATGTAATATTGAATTTAATTATACCCTAAAAACTAAAGCTGGATACTCAATAAACAGATGACTTGAATTCATTAATGAAATAAAATAATAATTATTTCTATTTACTGTATATACATATAGTTATATACACATGTCTATAAACATTCAGTTAAGTCACGTCTATGTCTTTGAGTTTGACGTAATTGTTTCTTAGGTCACACATCATCATTAAGTAAATGAAGAAAAATGAGAAAAAAAACGTATGGAGAGAGAGAGAGAGAAAAAAAAAATTGAAAAGTCCTTCAGAAAAGACAACTTAAGCATGCATGAAAAATTGTCATTTTCTTTTTTTCTTTCCTACTTAAATAATCAGAAATTAATACTTCTTCGTCTTCTTCTTCTTCTTTTTTCTTTTACTCTCTCATCTATAAGAAACAATTTAATATTCTTATTCATTTTCTTTTGGTTTCTGACGTCAAAAGACTAAGAATATATATATATATATATCCTTATAATCTATACTACTAGTTAAAATTTATCTCTTTTATTCAAATAATATTCACTTTGATATTGTTGACCAAAGAAAATATGGGAAGTCATGTATTATGGGTTATGTTTATTTTGATTTCTGTTCAAGTGGTTCAAATACTTTCTGCATTTTCTGATATACCTCGTAAGTTAGATTAAATAATTAAAAGAAAAAAGATCGTTATTCTTTTGTTTCTATTTGTAGCTCCACCAATTCGACCTGACCGATTTCATTCTCGTGAAGAACTCAAACGGTATTTACAACTTGTATGTTCAGATTTTCTATGTTTTTTTTTTTTTGTTATTTAATAAATTCAAAAAATTTTTCTTCAAGGTACATGAATATTATGCTATCATTGGTCGGCCACGTTTTGGTCGCTCTCTAATCGAACAACGATCAAGTCTAAGTGATCGACGTCTGTTTAATTTCTTCGATATAAATGGTGACAAATCAATAACATTCGATGAATTTCAAAAACAATTCGCGAATGACTAGTTGTGGATGTGTGTGATCACAGAATATTTTAAATATGTATTAACATTTATTGATTTGTATCATTTTTTTTGCTTATCAATAGACGACGATCCATGTCTCATGTTAATGAACATCAAAATTGCTACAAAATGGCAATTTTTTTTTCTGCGATCATCAAGCACCGGTTTTTTTTCCTATTTCTTTGTGTCAGTTCTCTTTATCATCTTCTCTTTTTTCCTGACTATCTATCATATTGTATGCAAATACAATAAAATTGGTCATTCCATCTATACACGCAACTACGTCATTATCAGTCACAGTCTGTGACTAGGAACATGTATTTGAAAATTTGAGAAAGGAAAATCTCATTTGTTAAAGTGACCTATTAAGTTAAAAAAACCCATCTTAGAACAATTTCACTTATTATCTCAAACAAAATTAGTAACACACATACGCATAAATGACTTGTCAAAGTAATTATTTGAACAACATACACTTTCCTGGAAAACAATGTCCTCTTGATAAATAAAAATCTTATATAATATTAACGTAAATAATCATCCATTTAAAATATCTAAAATATAGTAACTGTAAAAGTAATCGAAATACAAGAGACCTTAATGTCCTATATTTTTTTTTTCCATCTTGGTATAAAAAAATTCACACACACACACACATACATATGAACCATCGAAAAAAAAAAGGGTTTCAACCAATATATGAATTTTTTCAGAAGAAGAAGAAGAAACAAAAAAGAAATGTTAAATAACAAAGAATCAATGACGAAACTTTGTATAGTTATGTCTTTATTGAAATCACTGGTTTATTTTCTTTATTTAAAATAGAAAATTAAGCATTGACAGAAGATGATTGATTTTGTGATGTTTTAACATATTCAACAAAATCATCAATTAATCTGAAATAAAAAAATAAATAATTTAAATTATGAACAAAACAAAAAACAAAAAACCAATCGAACAACAAAAAATTATTTCTAATATACTTACGTTGGCCAAGCACCATCATGATCATAATTTGAAAAATCAGGTTTAATTGTTGTTGAAAAATCAAGTAATAAATCCCATGTATCTTTTGTAATTGATCGTTGGCTAGAGCGTTCTTCAAGAAATTTAATCCATAAATCAAGTAATTTAAATCTATGACATTGTTGATTAGTAGGATTTCCACTAAATAACATTTTCCAATATGCCATAGCTAAAACAAAAGTAATTAAATTTATTTTTATTTATAATTATAAAAAAAAAGAATCAATAGAATTTATATCGATATGTTCAAAAGAGGATTTGATTCAAACGTAGTTGTTTTTTAAAAAACGCATTTAAAAATTTTCTCAATAATATAATACGAAGAAAAAACTGTTGGAAATTGATTAAGTTAATTTATTATTCAAATTAATTACGTATCTATTTTTATCTTCTTAATGATAAGAGGTCATAGGACATATAAAACTAATTTTTAAACACACATATATGCGTACTCATTATATAGTAGTTGGTTAGACAATTGAAGAAAATTCTTTTTTTCATGAACTGCTACAAGTCTAATTATAATTGTAATTGACGCAAACATAATCTAATTTGAATAAAGACCACATAATCAATTCTCATTTTAACATACTTTCATTCATCTCGAATGTAAGAATATTTTTTCAAAGATAACGATTTCTATTCAATAGAAAATATGAGTTATCTTCTATAAATAGAATCAAAACTTATTTCAAAAAAAAAAAAAAAATAACAAAGAAATTTTTTTTATGCATATACGAACATTTGAGAACAGCTAAAGAAAAACAGGAAATAGTCAAGTGAACTGAAGTCTATTCTTAATTGGATCAATGACTATATATTATTTTAAATTAATACTAAATTAAGATTAAATATTTCATGCATTTTTAAACTAGAAAGAATATGTAAATTAGATTTCTATTATGCTAAAAAGCAACAAGAATAAAAAGAAAAGATGAAACATTTCTCAAACTTTGATGAGAATCGATAGTCATATGACAACTCCCACACATACAAGCAATTTTAAAAATCGTTTAAAACTATTTAATAAGTGTTAAAAAAACGTAGTTTCCTGTTTAAATTAGGGAAATTGCACTTTTAAGAAACTCTGTTCACTCGTAATCAATTGATAATTACAAATAATAATGAAATAAGCTTCTAACTTATGTATTTAAAATATATTAAAAATGAATCGCATATATTAAAAGATTAAAGACAATCAATAAAATCTGCGGATAATATCAGTCAATTATAATTTGCAACACATTACTTATTTATAATAGTATAAAGAAACACCTACATGTATATATATAAATAAGTGAATTGTAACTTTTTCTAATAACTTGTTACTATCGCACTCAAAAAGCTGTTAGTACAATCTTTACAAGATTAAAATGTAAAATACGATGTGATTACAATTATTAATCATAGAACGATTGTTTTATTCGATCTATTTTGGAACATATGTTTTCACCATCCTTTCATTTTATAATTGAGAAATGCACTAAGGAAGTAGATCGTTTATCATTACGAGACATTATTGATATCCGGTCTGTAGCACGAGAACAGTGCAAATTTTCATTCCTATACTTCAACACTCCTTTTAGGTGATGTTTAACAAAAATTAGAAATTGTCCTAAGATTTTAAGCAGATCAAATTCAAAAGATCGATTTTTATCATCGACTGTTAAACCATATCGTTTTATCGATTCATCTAAAATTCGGAAGTTGATAGAATTAGAGAAAATCTTGTGTATATTTCGAATATAAGACTGATTAATATGTATATTATGATTTTTTTCTTAATAATTTTGTTTTTGAATCTAAGCTTTACAATCATGCTTTGATTGTCTGTCACGCGAGATTTTTGACAGTAGAAGTATCACACGAGTTTATGACGTGCATAACACATTACAATAAATGTCAAAGTAAATCTATTATATATATATATTAGTTCAATTCTGATTTTCGATACTATCAAAATTGTTCCTTATGAAAGTCATTTAGTACAAATCATCACACATCATGAATAAATAAACATAAAATATACTGTTTGATTCATATAGTTGAGATTCATTAAACTTTAATATGAAAATTGTTCAAGATTGGGAGGACAACATTCCACTCGAAATACTTCTGTTCATGGATTTTGAACAAATTTCGTAGATCTCAGCAACTCTATTCATGATAATCAACCATCTTTATTTTTTTTTCTCCTCTCATACCATACAGCAGAATAAACTATTCTTCATTTTTCATATCTAAAAATGTTATCGTTTTCCCCTTATATATATCTAATAGTATAGATTAAAATAAATGTGTGTAATTATTTAAAAAAAAAAAAGAAGAATTAGAAGAACATAAGACGATCTTTTTTAAAATTACTTTTGATAGAAACAAGATAGACAACTATGAATTTCTTCTTTAGAAACAGGAGATGCAGACACATTGAATCATATAGTACACATTTGTCTGACTTGATCTTTTTGAAAGCCAACATAACCTGCGAGATGACTATAATGAGTTTTTAATTATCGTCAGTGCATACGAACCCCCAAATGACGATCTACAACACTACGCTCGTTTCATGTTTTTATATTTAATTATTTAAGAGTCATAGGTATTCTATTTAAAACTCTCAACCAATTGCTATGAAAAAAAAAAAATTTTTTTTTCCTTCTTATTCTATAAGAAACCATTTTTTCTGGTGCTTCTACTTTAGAAAATTGATTAAAAAAAAGTTTCAAAATAATCTTAAGGAAACCTATCATATATAATTCGGCGCGACTTCATCTGTTCTTTCCAACAGTGAAGACTATAACGTTCTAATCTATTTCTATCAAAAGGGAATCAAAACAATATCTATTCGCATTTTTTTTGAAATAGGTACTTGAAACTTCCTTTAGGTTTTCAAAACTGAAACATCATTTAACTCATCAAATAATCTTTATCAAAAAGTACGATAGCAAAAGGGCAAACACACATTTCAATTCAAAAAGAACAAGAGATTAAAGTAATCTCATCCTACACGTTTACTGTCATTCTTATTGATAATTAAATAGATGGCTCAAATGGAAAATTTGTATGTATGCGTAGGACAACAATTTTCACATATTATTATTTCTACATTTCAAATTTATTTTAACAAATGATTGCGTGTCTAGGAAATTCAATGTCTTCAAAGAGAAATGCTAAATGATTTGGAAAAGACATAAAAAATATCTTCTAATATATGCTCTTTTTCAATATGAAATTCTTTCTCTTGAAAATACAAACGAATGAAATCAATATCAAACACGTTTGTTTTTTGTTTTAAACAATATATTTTGAAGAAATGAAATTTTTTAAGTTACGTGTCCGAAATCTTTTCCAGATATTCATATGTCATTAAGATCTACATAATGTACATAATGCCAACTCAATGGAGATGTCTCTCACAAGTATTGAGACAAAATAATTGTTTATTATGAGCTTAGAAATTGTATCTCAAAAAAGCCAAAAACTATGGATGATGATCAGAATTTCGTACTCTCTTTGCAAATGAGATTAAAAATATGATGTCCATTTCTGTTTTAGACTAGTGAAGGAATTTTTTGAAGGTACAAAAAAGCATTCGAGTTGGTTGTTCTATTGGATGGACACTTTTTTTTACAAAATTTTATATTGAACTAAGTTGTGAAGATTTATGAGAGACAAAAATTGAAGTAAGCTGTAGAAAAATTCCAATAGTACATTTTATAGGGTAGATCCTGCTCTACAAGCTAAAAAATTAATAAAAGTATCAACATTTACTTTCGAGTTGCAATATTGAAAGTATAAAAGTGTAAAGAAAAGCTTTTTCATTTAAATTATTTTTTGGGCCTTTTAAAAGATTATCTAATTGGCTTTATGAAAATTTCTAAGCCTACATTCGAAAAAAGTACAAAATTCTGGTCATAAGTCATAGTTGTTTTTTCAAGATAGTCAAAAGTAAACAAACATTTTGTCTGAAAAATT